CAAGTGCACTCACACTCTCCTCCTCTCCCCTTCCTCTCTCTCCCTGTCTCATGTTGTTTCATTCTCTCTCTCCCTTCCCCCTTCCCTCCTACTCACCTTTCTCTTTACTGCCTCTTATTTAGCAAGACAGCTCTGAAGTTTAAAAGCAGACGTGCTTTGACTGTCTTTGTTTGGGTGAAGTCATGTGACACCAGGCTGTTCCCCACTCCCCCCCACCCCCCGGCCAGCCCCTCCTTCACAGCTCCCACCTCTCTTGGACCCACTGACCTTGGGTCTGGGTCTCTGTAGTACATCAATAATAGGTTAAGTACAATCAAGCCTCCAGAAGAGAAGTCAGTCGTTCTGAAAATCTGATTCCCAGAACACAGCAAGTGATTTCTGCTTATTTACTGGGATCAAAAGTTGGCACATAACCATGCTGTCCGAGGACGAGAGACTGTTACATAATCATCCTTCGGCAGACACAATGAGGTCACATGTTTGCCCATCTAATCACTGATCGGAGACATGTTTGATTGCAGATAATGTGCTCGCTGGCCCACAACTTAATTACTGAGTGTCTGAATCAACAAAGCTTTCAGATGTAGGTCTTGCCTAATGGCACATCTGTTAGAGATCATTGCCTCTGTTCGGCCTCTAAATGAAAGGTCTGGGGGATACCACGGGCCGTTGCCAGCGCTGTTCCCCATGACCTCTCACTGACAAACATGCCAATTCCCACGGTTTATTTTCCAGCCAGCAATAGGCATTACTGTTTAGATCCGGGGCCAAATGGAACGAATGACTCCAGGGTGGCAGATACTGGTAAAGCCTCTAGTAGAAAGAAGCACTCTCTCCAAGGAAATTAATGCCACAGTCATTTTGGTATAGTATCTGCAACTAGAGTCCAGTTATACAGATGGGAAGGTTGCAGAGCCAGAGAGAGAGTGGGGTTCCTTTCCCAAACTGGTGAAGAAAATGTTGGGAGAAGTCTAGGGAAATTAGCAAGCAATGAGTAAAGTAGAGGGTCACAATGTTGAATCTATAGGTTGGGGGTCCCAGCAGTTCACCACGATCTAACTACAGAGTTTGGAGCCCATTGGGTCTCTCATTAAGCGACATCTCTCTGGCTATTTCCTCCTTGTGAATTCCCCACCACGTGTGTGTGTGTGTGTGTGTGTGTGTGTGTGTGGTTTGTCTGTATTCCAAGTGGAGCTCCCACCCTCCCCCTCCTCGGCCATCATTATCACAACCATGATGCCTGGCAATGACTTCAAGATTTGGAAAACACGAAGTTTGGGGCGGGGTGTTCGTCTGTTTAAGATTTAAGGAGTCTTGGTCTATGCACAATTGTTATTAATCACTGGAGATGGCTATGCCTGTTTCCTTGCCTGCAAGTTTAAATAAAGGCGACATACCATTTTCAAGACATTATAACAAAGTTGGACTCACCCAGATGATTTTAGAACACTAGGCAAAGGCCTAATTTCCAGTACTAAGCAGAAATGTCCATGCCCTGGTGGGTGTCCAGCCCCCAGAAGTGGGTAAGGGAGGGTGAGAATTGCCTGAACCCAAAAATCTTTGTGTGGCTGGAGCCAGAAGACACAGTATAAAACAGAGCTGTAAATAAACCTCAAAACCTTCCCCATTTTTGTTTTGTTGTTGTTGTTTTGGTGGGGTTTTGTTTTGTTTTTGCCTAAAGCCTGCCATTAGCTGTAAGGTAGTGTGGCTTGTGTGGGCAGGTGGATTGAATGTCAGTGTGTTCCAAAATGCTTCTGAACAGGAATTCCTCCAGGACCCTGCCTTGTCTAGTGCACTATAGCGTCCTGAGCAATATTAAGGAGCGGAAGGGGTTTGCAGAGAAGCCTAGAGCCGTCTTTCTGTTTGTAGAGAGCAGCCCGCCCACCAGGGTGAAATCCTGCCTGCGCCTCTCCCCGTCGCTCCGCCCAACTCGCGATCAGATTTGAAAATTAGATGTTAGACTGCAGACCTGCTTTTGCTTTGTAGCTCATCTGCAGGTATCTGAAGCCCAAGGGTAGAGCCCCCTTTGCGCCTGGGCTCTGCTTGTTGACTATATCCTCATTGAACTAGGGGAAGAGCAGGTCATAAAAAAGAACCTTGTTATAGTGCCGTCTCTCGTAGCCCGGGGTGGCACTGAATTATTTTGCACTGAAGTCAAATGTTATGGGAGTTATTTTCTCCTTTAATAAACAAGCATAGGGTTGAGGGGCATGAGGCCAAGTGCTTCCCAGAATCTGAAAACGATTGCCCAGTTGAGGTTTTTCTTTCTCTGAAGAACACCTTTAGGTGATGGTGTTGTTAAGGCTATAATCTTATTTTACAGCCGAATTCCCTCTTTTATAATCAGCACAATTTTTTTTTTTTGACAGTATGATTTGCCTTCGGTGTGGAATCTGCGCAGGTTTGGTCATTTGCTTAGAGAAAAAATGAACTCAGTGTATGAGCTCTAAGGGTTTTCTTCGCCCAGCAACATGCTGGCAGGTCGTGTTACCCTGAATGGTAGCAGTGTGCATGGCTTGTTGACTGAATGCACGATCACGTCTGAATGTTAAGAAAGTTTATCATCTCCTTTGGAGAAGCACAGAAATTTTGCGGATGGTGTGTGAGGCAAGGAACTAGCTGTGGGCCCACTGATGCATCTATTCAACAGCAGGTTGAAATCCAAAGGGAGCGTGAATTACCAAGTTAAATGCAGTTTCTATTTTAAGCTAGAGACTGCAAAGCAAGGGGAGAATGCCACATTGCCTTCGAAGGGAAGTTTTAATTGATCAACCTGTGGTCTTTGAATCGAAATGAGCTGTTTTCATTCCCCTTGAACCTTTCCACGTCTTATCTCGGAGGTGGGACCCTAATTCTAGGTCAGCACAAGAGTGTAGGAGAGGGAGTGTCACAGGATGGCACAGTCACATCCCACTCCTTCTAGGGACCATAACAGGAGGCTTTGTGTAAATCCTCTAACTGCTCTAGTTCAAAATGAGCGATACATTTGGGTAATTATCATCCCCCTTTGCCCTGGGCCTCACTTTAAAAATTCTACTGTGTCATTCAGCTACTCGGGAAGTAACCTTGGAAGCAAAGCTAATTACCCTCCAATCTGTGCTCTAGAAATGTAAAGATCTTAAAAAGTGAGTGGTTGAGACAATTCTGGAGAGCCTTACTTGTTCCAGATGGCTTCTGCTCCAGAGGGAGAAGCTTTTCAAGTGTCCCACGCAGCCCTGGGCCCTGTGGGGCCTTCTCCTTTCACTCGGGCCTCAAGCACAGAGCACAAAATGCTGTCCCGGGGAGGGGAGAGACGCAAGGGGATGTTCTAGGTGAAGGTGCCGTGCTCCCCCCAGCACTCCCTGTGGAGCCTGCGCAAGGCGGGCAGCCAGCTGAGGTGGGTGGAAGGACTGTACTTTGCCCTCAAACATCCTCCCCTGTCAGCAGAGTCGCTGATAGTTGGACCCTTTGTAGCACGTGCACTAAAAACGCCATTGTACCTGTGCTTGCTTTTAATTACTCAAACCGGTGTTGTTTCTAGTTTTCTCTCTCTCTCCTAACAAAACTTCAACTACTTGTACCTTGTTCCGCCCCCACGGAAAAGCTGCATAATAATCAGTTGTTTACAAGCCTGTAAGGTAAATAATCACACTGCTTCAGTGTGATGTATGAGTTTTTAAAGAGGCGTTTAGCATGACATGTGTGAATTTTTAAAATTATAACTTCATTGAAAATAAAATCTGTCTTTCCCTAGATTATATGTACTATCCAATGACTGATAGACTATGGAACTTGCTAAATCCCATAGAGTGAATTTGAGTCTTAACAAAATAAAATACGTATTAAGTGAAAAGCTTTTAAAAAATACATTGAATTTGTCTAACGACTCTGGTCTTTATGCTGCAAATTTGACTTGGGAGACAGGCTGCATTAAAATATGAAGATGGTTTTTATAACATGAAACCAGAATTTAATTTTGAAACTGAACATGGATCATTTATATATAAACAAAAGGAACGCTGGGGCAAATTTTGTAACCCTACCCAACTACCCTAATTAGGAAGGAGTGGAATGGCCTGAGGCAACACGTCACCATATTACTTAGGATCTGTTCTGTTGACAGATGATGATCTGGTATATTTTGTTCTGCTTGATATTCCCCGCCCCGTATGTCTACAGTAGATTTAGATCATCAGGCTAAGCCACAGCCCAGCGAGGTGCCTGGGACCCACGACCAGGTGGGCGCCCCTTCACAAATCCTAAGCTCATCGGGCACCGCCTTAATCTGCAGCCAGTCACGTGTGTGCAATAATAGCCCTGCTTTTGGAAACCTATCTCTACGAAACAGAAAAGCTAAAGACTAATTTGTGCTTGGGATGTTTGAAAGGACATCTGGTTTTCTTGTAATGGCAGGCAGTGAAGTGAGGAAAAAAGTCATGGTGTTGGGGTGTCTGCCTACCAAGTGGGTGATACACTTGTCTCTAAAACGGTGTGATCTCGAGAACCTGGTCCCTCAAATCTTCGTATTGTGAAGTTACAGGGACATCTGGGAAGATCAGCAGACTCTAGCGTGGCATGGCTAATTCTTCTTGGCTTGTGATTGTTTCATAGAGACTCTCCATCTTAGCACCAGTAGACACACTTCTTCTTTCTTTGGATAGCTAAGGTATGAGCTGCCCCTCGCTTTCATTCTGATGTCTCAGCTTTATTGTGCCTTATAATGGACTCTACTCCATCTGGCCAAAGGGAATTTCTGAGCGTCTATGGAAGTAAAATGCACTCACCATAAAAGCTGTCCCTGAAGGAGGAATGTCAGTGATGCCCAGTTCCTCAGGCATTACTTAACTTCATTTGCAATGATAAGTCAGCCATAGCTTTACCTGTGGTCCCCAGTAATTCAGAATGAGAAGCCCCCACTTAGGCAATGTGGAATTTGGTTGGCGCTTACATCTCATTTCTATCCATGTGGGGGAATATGTAGCTATCTGAAGATACGAAAATTAATGTAGTCTAGATTCACATTTTACATTTACTCAAATATTTATTTGAACTCATAAAAAGTTTATTGACATAATTTAGAAGATGAAGAACTAAAATACATTCCAAATATTGACCAAAATAGTGTGGGAAGTCGCTCAGAGAACTTTCAATCAAAATCATTGCTATGCATATTGCCATATCCTTCTCCATAGAATCATATCCCTCCTCAAAACCACACCCTCCCAAGTGGTGAATTCTTGAGCTGATTTGCTCTGCAAGCTGCCAAACGTGAAGATAAAGTAAGTAGTGCAGCCAGCTAGAAGGAAGAGATATAAATGGACAACCAGGACGTTTCTGCTAGAGTCTTAGGCATTCGGGAGGTACGTAATCTTCATACAAATATATAAAACTTTTCAGTGAGCTATTTTCATTTGAATCCATTCTCTTACTCTTCAATTCTTCACATCAAGCCTGCAAAGGAAAAAGCAAAGGAACGTTAGTTGAGTTTCCATGAGGTACTTTTAGGGACAGGTTGTAAATCAATATGATAGGTACAAGTCAAAATTGAAGGCCTCATTTTCACTTGAAAACTTCATTTCTTGATTCCATGAAGGTAAAGTGAAGTATGAGTAGAAGGTGTGACCATCAACTCTGGCTCTAGCGATCTGAGTAATTCTAAACTAAAGGAGGATGGCTTCCTTCTGAAGGATTAGACTATAATGCCGACCTTATGATTATGACTTGCAAGACCTTTGGTGCCTTGGTAAATTTGCATTCATGGCTCCCATCCTCCACCCCTCCCTAGAGCCACCCCCATGGCCATGTAACTTTTTAGTTTCCTACCATCATGAGTAGGGTAGGATTCCTCATGCCTGAGGTTAGCCATGTGACTTGCTTTGGCCAACAGGATGAGGTAGAAGTGATGGTGTGTCAGTTCTGAGCCTGAGCCTTAAGAGGGATCACGTGTTTTGGTTTTCCCTCCTGCACGTCTGCCATTGCCACAAGTAGGGTATGCCCAGGCTTGCCTGTGGGCTCCTGGAGAAGGATGGGCAGCATGTGGAACAGAGCCCCCAGCTGACACCGATACATTAGTGAGCCCAGCCTAGATCAGCTAAGCCACAAACACATGAGCCAGAGTAATAAATGCTTTTGTTTTAGGGCATTGGATTTGGCGATGGTTGGTTATGCAGCCATAGCTAATTGATATGGTGCCATTTCCTTTAAAGGCTCTTGCAGTGCCGAGATGGTTGAACATTATTCACCCATTTGTTTTCCATTATTCTTTGCTGCCTTTTCTTGCATGCTTTACTTATGTGGATGGGCTGAATCTTTTCTAAGAAATAGAATGCTTACTTTTTTTTAGTACCAATGGCTGTAGAAACAAAACTCCACAGACAAGGATCCCCCCACCCCCGCTGCGGCAGTCACTATGACTTGGCTCTCTCCATATCCATTCACAATCCCCTTCTCCCTTGCTTTTCTCTACTCCAAAGGCTGGTAGCCAAATACTCTCTTTCCCAGTCTCTCTCATGGCTTGGGGCAGCCATGTGATGCAATTGTGGCCACTGAGCCCCAAGGAGAATTCTGCAGCAGAGGTCTTTTAGAAAGTTTTGCTTTCCTGTGAATTTCTTTAGAGATTACAAAGCCTGTTGCATCACTTAACAGTTATATAGCATTGCTGTGATGCAGGTTGTATTATACTCATTGTTGAGATGAAACACCTAGAGGTTCAAAGAGCCAAGTGAGTAGCCCAAAGTCTCATAGCTGGTAAAGAGAAAAGCTGGGATTTGAATTCCTGTGTCCTGACTGTAGGGCTCCTTCCACTCCACTAACGGGAAGGTTTGGATGGTTTTTGAACTGGAGGGGAAGGTAGGAAGGCATCATTGACTGCAGAACTGAAAATGTTACCAACAGCCATCAGCACTGGCTCACGTATTTTTTCTAGCATTTATTTCTCTTTGTTAGAAACTCAGTTTTTAGTCCAGGTCATTCACCAGGAAGAAGCAAGATACCATCTCCTTCCCAGCCCAGGATTTCTTGGCTGAAATGTACTTTGTTGACCAGCAGCTTCCCAGCGTCACCAGGGCGCCCGCCTCCCCATGCCAGTCTGTTTCTCTCTCGCGCAACCTGAACCGAGTTTGTTGGACACTCACTGCTTGTGTAACGTGATTCAAGCCTTCAGGCCACTCCCTCTTGCCTGATAACTTTAGACTAAAATCCTCCCCTCCCCCCATGGCTCTCCACATCATAGGCTGCGGTGTAATTAATTGCCTATATGCATCCTCTCTCCCGGCTCATCTCTTTCCCGCCATAGCTGTCCTGCCTCTAGGCCGTGACCTTCTGAAGGGTATGAACATGCCCTATTCGTTTTTGCATCCCATTTCCTATCATGGCGCCTGACACAAAGCGGGAGCCTAGGGATTGGTGAGGTGGAGTGCTGGAGGGGTGAGAGCAGGACAAGAAGTGGGATCGGAGTGCTGGTGAGGTAGCAGGAGTGGGCGAGGGACCGAAGATGCAGGAAACCGGCAGTGTTGATGAGCTGCGCTGCGTCCCCACTGTGCTGTCACACCTGTCCTAGGCCCCAGCCGTAGCCCCATCATGGCCAGCGTGTGCCCAAGCCATTTTACTGCTGTGGTCACTGTGCTGGGTGACATATGGCCAGTCTGTCTGGCCGAGTGAGAGGCCCAGCACAAGCTGCCCTTGAAACCGAGACATTCCTTGGGCTTCTCTGAGCAGCATGGAAGGGGTGATGATTCATAGTAAATTGTCACTGAAGCCTGTTCTGTGAGGTGGCATTTCTCTCCAAGAAGTGTCCAGACTGTGAAGCCTCATCTGCAACCAGAAATAGGAACCATTTCTATGACAGGCTTGATACGGACTTTGACCCCCACACGTCTGTCTCACATTGGTGGAATTATAGCTATACTGAGAAAGAGAGGATGAGCCATTTGCAGTGACCCTCCAGTGACTGTTTAAAAACCCTAAGATGCCCCTCATGACCGGCTTCGGCTTGTGGACCTCTCTGACTTTAAGACAGTTTTGGAAACATAAGGAAACCTTGATGCAGTTTGCCCAGACCACCATGGCCACTGAGATCACCATATTATTTAGGAAAAGCAAATGCACAGTTCTTTATGCAGTACTAGCCCCAGGGGAACTGTGCTTCATAGGGGGATGGAGGAACCACTGACTTTACACAGTGACCTCATTTAATCTACAAAGTGAGCCCTGGTCTTCCTTGTAGAAGGAACTGGGCAGGAGGCAGCTGATGGAACAGAGGAGTCACTGCAGTTGTTGTTCTGCAGACCACCCTTCCCTCCCCCAGCTTCCCCTCTCCCTCCCAGATCCCAGGAGAATTTGAGAGGGCCCAGCAGCCCTGGACACAGGACACTGCTGATGGCCAAGGTCACAGATGGTCCTTCCAGGAGTGCACGGCCCCGAGAGGACCAGAGTCTCCGTCCTTGGCCTGGTGGGACTCCGGGTGTTCTCAGAACACCTTTATGTTACCGGAATACCAGAATCCAGGAATTCAGAGACCTGGGTGAGGGCTCAAATTTAAAAATGGGAACAATGGGAAGGGATCCAGAGCTAAAATTGCCCCTGCTGTAAAGCACACTTGTTTGTCGGGGTGCTGGAATGCAAGTGTGTTGGGTGGTGTCCCAGGCCACACTGCTTTGCTGCCTAGACAACAGCTGTCAGCTATTCTCCTGTGTCCTGTTCTCCTGTTGGGGACATTGGTGAGAATGGTGGAGAATGCGAGGCCCCCTGCGGAAAAGTCACTCTCCAGCTACCGCACACCCCTTTTGTACCCAAAGCAAAAAAGTTTACATTGGGAAAGGCACACCTTGGCTGGTGCAAGGGTGATACGCCAGATATCTCCCGTGTGTCACTCTAGGTCCAGGCTGAGGAGCATGTGATGTTTACGCCCTGCCCCGACCCATTTATAGCTGTGTTATTCATACTTGCCGCAGCCCCACATACATCATTTAGGAAATGGAGTCCACTCAACACTGCTCTGCATTTGGTCCTTTAACCAGACACTCGGGGGCGGTGCAATGATTACTTCTTCCTACGTGGTGCTAAATCATAGAGCCATAAACACAGTGGCACTCAAACGTAATCGAGAGAAAGGCCGTGCCTCGTGTTCCATCTGGTTCCGTATGCAATGACTGACCAGGCACCCAGAGCAAACTGGTTGAAGCTCTGGAGTTTGTTAGAGGGCATTTGTGGAGTCCCCTAGAGCTCCTAGCACACCTCCACGCCAAGGTCGGGGACCCAGGAAGTGCACGGCGTGAAACTGCACCCGGATAACTCCAAACCCAAGACTATTTTATCCCCACCAGCCACTCATAGAGTAAGAGAAACAAAGCTCTAAGTAAAAACTTCTAAAACTTTTTTCTTAAACTGCAAAATATCCACCCAAATTGGGTTTTGTGCGTCATGAAGCCTTTGGTGGCTAAAATAAAAATGGAAATGTTTCTACCAATAACTAGTAAAAGCAGGGAAGAGCAGAAAGACACAAAGAGCAGGACATTTTGGGGGTAAAATTCTGCACCTAAAATCCAGAGTCAACAGTGTTACGTGCTGGGTGAGGAGAATTTGAGTAACCTTAAGGAGAAGGCAAATTGCATGTCCAGGTCAAATCATTAAAAATAAGCTCAAAAGGGGTTTTTTAATCCTACTGTACTGAGAGTTTGTTGCCTTGGATATCAAGTCAGGGTTCGGCAGGTGAGACAACATTGAATTTGTTTGGGGAGATCTTGGTGGAATAAGGGGTATAATCCAAGACCAGTCACCACTGGTGGCTGCTAGTTTTGTGGTCAATTTCTCCATCTGTCAGAGCACAGACCATCCTGTTTCTAAAGGGGCCACAGATTTTACTGGAGAAACACTGGCCCGAGACTCCCTAGTAAAGCAGAGCTCGATAACGCGCAGAGGTAGACAAAGTAATGAACAAGTCGAGTAGACTGCTGTCTTAACAAGAGGTTCCAAAGATGGCAAAACCCTTCTATGTTGTTTAGGCTTGAGCATTTGAGACCTAGGGACAATGGCGCTTACATCAGAAATACCCAGTATCCTCTTAGAACTGTCTGGCACGGTCTCTGGCAGTCAGAGGTCCTGGGACATCCAAACGGAAAAGCAATTTCTTGACATAAAGTTAACATATGAAATAAATGTAGGCCTCCCTGTCTCTCTCTAATAAGACATCCTGGAAAGCACATTGTCACAGAGATTCCCTTAGAGCTGATTGACATTTTGTTTGTTTATTTTTACAGTAACAATTATGGAAGTCAGTGGTCCATAGTCTCAGTATTCAAATTAAAAACCTGGCCATTGGTACACCATCAGGCAGATGTAAAAGCTTTATAATCCTCTAAAATAGTAAAACTGTTTTCGAAGATTGAATGGAACTTGAGTTTTCTTATTGCTCCTCCTTTTATAAATTAGGAAATTAGGGAATTCCCTGGCGG